GGAAGTAGAGGTGTGTGGAAGCAAGCAGTGGAGACGTTAATACAGTAAGGCGGGTGTTGTTGGACAGTCTAGGGCGGAGGCCAGGATGGTGTTTGGACTCGGAACTAGCGGGAACGCGGCCGTGACTATTTTATTTACAGCCTGGAGGTCTGGGACCAGCCCTAGCCTTTATCATTGAGGTTCTTGAGGATGGGATTGGAGTATTGCAGGGGCTGGAGTGGATATTAGGAGGCTCAGAATGAGGGGTTGGAGGCCCTAGGGGGCCTGCGGTGTCAGAGCCTATTAAAGCAGTTTCAGGAGGGGCATGAAAGCATCTCTTTCTATCTTAAACGGTTCAGCCTCCCAGATGCTCCCTATGTTTGTTGAGTTGGAAGCCCAGGGAGAATCAGGAATGCAAGTCGGCAGATCTGGAGTATGTGGGTGCGAGGGAGAGGCTGATGTTTCCGGAGGGGGTGGTCGGGGTGGTGAGGAGGGTTAGTGGACTGAGAAGGATGGGGCCGGGCTAGGGCTGGGAGAGATAGCCCACTGGTGAACATGGAATGTGGCTGTCCCACATTGATAGGCTGGCCCTTTCTAAAAGATGTATTGGAATAGCTTGAGTAAGAAACTGCTGCGTAGGAGGGGGGTCCCGTGAACCCAAGAGTGGCTCAGACAAGCATAAGCCATGCAGGGACTTGCGGTCCCTTTGCCATCCTTGTTGTGTACTGAAGCCAGGGGCTGCGGGGACTCTGAGATATTTACAGCACAGGGCGTGGCGGTGTCTACTAAAACCCTGGCAGGATGCCCTTTTAGGGGCTTGATGTTTATGTCCCCCTGCAAGTTGAGGGGTATTCATGGACACCGGGGAGAAAGTTTGCTCCGAGTGAGTCACTGGGGTGACTACATCTTGGACTCGAATTCCTTTTTGCATTTTCAAGCTGGACACTCTGAAGTCCAATGTCCCTTTTCTTTACAGTACCTACAAGTGTCTCCATCAAGGTGGCCCTGGCAGGATGGACTTTTTGTCTTGAATGGCTTAAGTTGTAAGACCCTACGTTTGCATTGGGTGGATTTGATTTTATCTTTCATGGCATCCTCAAGACGTTGAACTACCTCCCAGCATTCTGTAATCGAGCCATTTCACCAGCGAACCTTGTTTTTGAATCATGTCTCTGATCTCTGGTCTCAGGATGTTAACAAAACTAGTAGCCAAGGCGGAAACAGATCAGGCCTGAACAGTCTCTTTCTATACATTTTCCAGCCTGGGTCTGTCCCTGGAGATGGATGCATTCCTCTGCTGTCTGCATTCCTGGATCTTAGACTAACTAGAGCGACAGGCATTGGGGGTGGAGTCTAAGAGACTTTCCCCAATAGTGTTAGCTCTGTGCCTCAGAGGTGTCCTGGCTCATTTGGAAATCCTCATTTACTGAGACACTGAGCTTTTTCAAATCAAAGAGCTGCAGCTCCAGAACCGACCAGCAGATGGACAAGGTTGATAGAAGTTGGAATGTCCCAGAGAGGAAGCTCCCAGTAGTAGCATAAATGGGCTGCTAAATTCTTCCCTGTTTCTATGGGGCTCAGGTAAGCCTTTGTGGATACTTGTTCCCTCCAGTCCGTTCCCCCTGCCTACAATCTCTCAAGGCCAAGATGAAGCTTAAGAGGTCTGCCCAGACCACCCGCCCTCCCTGACCCCCAAGCTCGCTCTAGGCTGCCCCTGCCTCCTGGGCTCCCCCATCCCAGCCACTTTGGGTCATCACTGTCTGGAAACAGGTGTCTCTCCACTGGATGGTGAACCCCATGAGGTTGGGTCCCAGGCTTTCTTGGTCACCACTGTGTCCCCAGCATCACCCAGCACAGTGAGACGAATGAATGAGTGAATGAGCACACTCAGTGTGTACAGAAGTGATCGCATCAATATTAAAAATATATTAAATATTAAGTGTCAGTTTTCTGTGGACCAGGCTTGTGCCGACCACATTGTTATTAGCAGTTGTTATTACTAGTAACACCACCAAATAAGGAATTAATCATCACAAACCACGAGATCACATGCTTTTCTCCAAGTCCTCCACCTTCCTTGGATGGATGTTCCTTCCATCTCTCCCCCGTTTCCAACTCTTCCTCCATTATGCTTCCCTCTCCTCCCTAGGATACTTCCATACCATTCCCCCTTCCAGTCTTCTCTCCTGGCAGTCCTCCCTTCTGTTTTCTACCCCAGCTAGTCATCCTTCCAAAATTCCTCTCCCTTCGGTCCCCTCGCCCCACCTCTTCCGTCCTCCCTCCGTTTCAGGCAGTCCTCCTCCGGATGCATTCCACCTTGGTGACCCACAGAGTAATGACTCAAGAGTGCAGTGCGGTCAGAGACCGAGGCCATGAGGCCAGAGATGAGTCTGTTTTAATTGTTGGGGAGACAGGAAGGGCCTCTGGAAATAACTCCCCCTTCCCCTAGCCCGTGTGTGTGTGTCCCATCCAGTTCAGGCAGGAAGCCGCTTCCCCTAGAACAGTTCATTGCCGGGCTGGTGTGAAGGGTCGCTGTTGAGGGTGGCAGCCGGATGAGGGCACAGGGCCTCAGAGGACACTGATGCGCTCGGCCAGCCCCTGCATGTCGTGGTCCTGCGTGGGGAGCGCCCCACCGATCTCCCTGTCTGCGGGCAGCGCGGACCCGGGCAGCAGACGCTCTGCCAGGAACTGGTCCCAGCGCGCGTCGTCACTCTCGTGCGTGATGTACCGCTCGCCCATCTTCCCCTCCAGCCCTCGGAGGTCCAGCCACGTTTGGTACTCCTGGGCCGGGAGAACGGGTGTTAGCTTTAGCACAGAGCAGCGCTTGGATGCTCTCTGCCCTGCCAGGGGGAGGCGGGTACCAAAGAAAGAGAAGCCACGCCTGCCCAGCCAATAGAAATTTAGCTCCACCCCCCCTCTGCAGCCCAGCCAATAGGAGGCTCAGCCACATTCCAAATCCGACAGAAACGTAGGTACCTACATCCTTCACTATCTTCCTGGCCAATAAGCGATCTAGCTCCACCCCTTCCTCCAACCTAGCCAATGGGCCAGCCCCGCCCTCTGCATCACCTGTAACCAGGAGTGGCTGAGAGACTTGTCCACGCTGTAGCGCTTACGCATCTTCACCTGCAGCAGGTTGTTAATGAGGTCGATGGCTGCGCAGGAAGGAAAGACACAGTTCAAGCCCTGGGGATGAGGGGTTGCTCCTCCTCCAACAGGACCCCCCCAGCCCACCTGGCTGCCATCTACACTAGCCCTGGTGGCTCAGAAGCCTCACCCGCGCCAATCACTCACCCATTTCCTCATTAAATTGCAAATTTGTCTCCTCCTGCCTGCATGCTTGCACACTCGCTCCTCTTCCTCAACGGTTCTGGACCTCAGTTTCCCTGTTCTCATGTCACCTTCACAATTTTTGCCATACACGGGTACGTAAAGGTACACTTGTACTATTCTTCATTTAATACTTTTATTTAAGCCAATTCATTAATCCAAGATCTACTGTTAAGTGGACAAAGCAAGTCAAACAACAGCGTGACTAGTATGCTGCCATCTGTGTCAAAAGGGGAAATAAAAGAATATATGGTCACATATTTCTTGCATACGTATAAAATCTCTCTTGAGGGCGAAGGGAGACTCGTAATAGTCGTCGCCTTTGGGAAGAACAGCGGGCCAAGGAATGAGAGACAATTTTCACTGTAGACCCTTCCGTATATTTAAAAATATGAACCATGTGAGTATTTAACTTATGTGGATAAAAAGCTAAAATTGCATTTATCAATTCATTTTTAAGGTGAAAATACATGTATTTATTGATTTTTATTTTTTAAAGGGAAAATACATGCATTTAAAATGGAAACTTTACATCACTCTGATCGATGGAAATCCTATGATCACTTGCAGTATCCACAAAAGTAAAATGAAAATATAGATGATCTCTGACTTATGAGGGTTCGACGTACTGATTTTTCAACTTCACGAGGGTGTAAAAGCAGCACACATTCAGTAGAGACCCGACTTCAGATACCCATACAGCCATTCTGGTTTACACTTTCAGTACAGCATTCAATAAATTAGATATTCAAGACTTTATTATAAAATAAGGTTTGTGTTAGGTGATTTTTTTTTTTTTTTTTTTTGAGACAGAGTCTCACTCTGTTGCCCTGGCTAGAGTGAGTGCCGTGGCATTAGCCTAGCTCACAGCAACCTCAAACTCCTGGGCTCAAGCGATCCTCCTGCCTCAGCCTCCGGAGTAGCTGGGACTACAGGCATGCGCCACCATGCCCGGCTAATATTTTTTTCTATATATTTTTAGTTGTCCAGATAATTTCTTTCATATTTTTTTTTAGTAGAGACGGGGTCTCGCTCTTGCTCAGGCTGGTCTCGAACTCCTGAGCTCAAACAATCCACCCGCCTCGGCCTCCCAGAGTGCTAAGGATTACAGGCATGAGCCACCTCGCCCGGCCTGTGTTAGGTGATTTTTATCGACTATAACTAATAGAAGTGTTCTGAGCATGTTTCAGGTAGGCTGGGCTAAACTAGGATGCTGGGCAGGTTAGGTGCATTACATGCATTTTCAACCTACAATATTTTTACCTTATAATGATTTATCAGGACCTAACCCCACCGTTAAGTTAAGGAGCGTCTATATAACAATGTTATCAGATGGTAGTCAGGCATTACTACCCGCAGAACCCTTCTTTGTGAAGACAACAGGAGCAAGCGTCAAGCTTTAAGGCAAGCTGGCACCCCCCTGAGGACAAGGACAGGCCACGTGCACATAGGCACCCTGCTTCAGTCAACACTCATGGTGGGTCCCCAAAGGCAATCCTGAGGATCTGAGATATGACTGCAGGACTCGAGTCACCCCACATTCTCGCCACTCAGTGCTCCTCTCTCTCATGCCCAGCACCAAGAACTTTTCTGGAGTCACCCTCCCCAAAGCCAACTCCGTGAGGTCATGCCGCCCAGAGAGCACCCTCCCCACTTCTGCTCCTCACAGACCACTCAACGGGCTCCTCCCCACACGATCCCTGCCCAACTCATCGCTGTGTTCCCACAGCCTAGGACGGTCCGTGCCAGGCACACAGCAGGCACCCAACATGCACGTGCTGAATAAGCGGTTATAAATCAATGATTGTCTCCTTAATCTCCCTCCCACACTGTCTTCCTGAGCTCTCGGGCTCCAGCACCTGCCTCTGGCCTTTGCCCTCTAAACGTCCCCCTCCCCCGGCCTCAAAGCTCCAGGCCTCAGGACTTAACTTTTCCAGGCCAATCGCCAAGGCGGCAGGTTCAAGTCGCCAGGCCCAGTGCCACTCCCCAGCCACGAGGCTGCAGTCCCTGGCTGCAGACACCCCAACCTCTGCCTCAGTCCTGACTCCTCTCTCCTCCTGCCCCCCATCTGCTCTCGGTTTCCGGGCCTCAGGGTCTGCCCTTCTCCTGGACCTTCGGAAACCCTCCATGGCCATGTTCCTAGACTGGTCCCCACCACCACTGGACCCACCCCCAGGCTCCAGGCCCTTCTCCACCTTAGTCACACCCAGCAGAGTACCCAAGCCCCTGTTCCTCAGCCCTGCCCCCTGCCTGGCACCTGCGCTTTTGCAGGGTTAACCCTTTCAGGGACATAATCCCAAAAGCCCTAGTTCCCGGCCAACGCCTTGGGAGGATGTGCCTCTTCTCCTGGCCACCCGAGCCCTTTGGCGTCCTCGGGTCCAGTCCCTCTGCGGGTCCCACCCTAGACAAGCCGAGCCCCTAAGGTTTCAAGTGTCTGTCATGGTGCTTGGTTTCCTGCTCTGAGTCCCTGAGTCCCAGTCCTCTGTTTATAGGCCCGCCCCTCCTGCAGCCCCCCGCCCAATCGCTAGACTCCGCCCCCGGCGCTGGGCTCAGGGCCCACCCCCTCGCAGCCCCGCCCACTCTCGCGGCCCCGCCCACTCTCCCAGCCCCACCCCTGGCCACCCACCTACGCGGTCAGCTAGCCCCACGCACCTCCGGCCGAGATTTGGCTCCAGGGACTGGCAGGGTACATGAAGGCAGCGTTCTGGATCTGGTCGTTGATGTCCTCGTCCTCGTTGAAGGGGAACGTGCCGCTGAGGCTGACGTACATGATCACGCCCACCGACCACATGTCCAGCGAGCGGTTGTAGCCCTGGTTGAGCAGCACCTCGGGCGCCAGGTAGGCCGGCGTGCCCACCACCGAGCGGCGGAACGACTTCTCGCCGATGATGCGCGCGAAGCCGAAGTCACACAGCTTCACCTGCAGAGGGTGGCGGCGGAGGGTCTGAGGGCCTGATGAAGCCGCCCCTCCCCGCCCCTCCCACCCCGTCTCCCCACTGCCCGCCCCGGTACTCCAGAGAAAACCAAACGTTGTTTCAAATCCAGGCTCCTCGGCTCATTAGCTCAGTGACCCCGGGCAAGAGACTTCCCTTCTCTGTGCCTCAGTTTCCTCATCTATACGAGGAGGAGGAGGAGGAGGAGGAGGAGCAGCAGCATAACAGCACCTATCTCAAAGCGGGTTAGGAGCAGCGTCCAGCAAAGAATGGACCTCGGCGGTCTCAGGCCAGAGACCTAACTTCTCCTGGCCTCGGTTTTGCCGTCTGTATTGGGGATGTTAACGGCAGCCTCCTCTCGGGCTTTTCTGGGGATTAAATGGGCCTGGGCGTAAAGTGCTACCCACAGCATCCGGCGGACGATAACGTATGCGCCTCCCTCTCCCTCGTTGTTAACACTAATGTCTAAGGTCGGCCAGGCTCGGTGGCTCACGCCTGTAATCCTGGCACTCTGGGAGGCCAAGGCGAGAGGATCACTTGAGCTCAGGAGTTCGAGATCAGCCTGAGCAAGAATAAGACCCTGTCTCTACTAAAAATAGAAAAATTAGCCGGGTGTGGTGGCGCACACATGTAGTCCCAGTTACTCGGGAGGCTGAGGCAGGAGGATCGCTTGAGCCCAGGAGTTTGAGGTTGCTGTGAGCTAGGCTGATGCCACATCACTCTAGCCTGGGCAACAGAGTGAGATTCTGTCTCAGGAAAAAAAAAAAAAAACAACATATAGGCTCAGCTGCTGACAGCCAAGATGACAATGGTTTAACTGCAAAAGCAGCTCAGCAGTGTTGGGGACCAAGGTTCCTGCTGTCCCTCTGGAGTGCTGCTGGGCCCCTACTTATTTAAACCATGGGACTTCCCAAAATCAGGAGGGGACGTAACTGACCTGAGGAAAGGGGTCGGCCGATGCCAGCAACACGTTTTCTGGTTTCAAGTCGCAGTGGACGATGTTCTTAAAGTGAAGGTGTCTCAAAGCCACCAGGATCTGAGGGAAGGAGAGGGGGCCCGTGAGGAAGGCAGACAGGCATCGGCCAGATTCCACTCCAAACCCACCCAGGCCTTTCTCTGCACCCCACAACGTGCCCCCTCAGCGTCAGGGCAGGTATTGGAGCACCAAGGAAGGTCAGTAGCCCAGATCCATTTACACCTGAGAGATAAGAGCTGGATGAAGAATTCTAGAAAGGGCCGGGCTAGACCAGAGGGACCAGGAAGATCCTAAGACCTGCTGCAGGTGGTGAACTCCTGAATGCTATTAATAGAGCAGGCGCTTTCAAGAAGATTCTACTGTGTGATTCAATGAAAACAATTTTTTTTATCATCCTTTAAAAAGAAACTTGATTCTGTGTGACCCAAAGCAGCAAACAAGCAGAGAGTGATTGATGTCAGACTGCAATTGTAATCTATGTCTCCGAATTTAAATATCTGTTTAAATACCTGTTTTCACCAGGTGGGTGACTTCCTAGTGAGGAAATACTATTGAAAAGCCGCTGCTACAGTCCAACCTCCTCCTGCTACAGACCGGGAGACTGAGATAGAAAGATGTATTTGTCTATGTCATCTCGGGATTTCCTGTTAATTGGTTTGTTTTTCTCCCAGTTCATGGGGTGAACAAAGAGGGCAGATTAGACGCTAGATCGATCCAGGTTCAAATCTTGGCCAGACAGCTACTCGGCTGTGTGACCTTGGGTGAAACACTGGTACCTCCCTGACCCTCAGTTTCCTCATCTATACAGTGGGGCGTTATAATGATACCTACCTCAAAGGGTGGTGGTGAGGCCTAAATAAGTTCATGAGGTAAAGGGCTTAGCACAGGACTTGGGGGTGGGGCAGGCAAGAGCCCAGAAAGCAGAAATCTGTAGGGGGAGAGAGAGATAGAAAGAAGATAGAGCAGGTGAAAAGAAAGGAAGAGATGGGAGACCAGAAAGAGAAACTGTCTTGGTTGCTGAAAGCAGTCAGTTCCCCCTCCCCGTCTAAAGTCTGGAGGGGGCTGCCTCAGTGGGTTTCTGTCCCCACCCCACAAGCCAGCCTGCCAAACACAGGCACACCGCTTGAGAGAGACAGCGCTGGGCCGGGACACAGGAAAACACAGCACAGGGGACTTTGCGACCAACAGAGATGTCCTCGAATCAGTCCTTTCTAGGAAGGATGTGAAACCCAGAAACCACAAAAGAGAACATTTAACATTGTAAAAGTTAAGACTCTGTGGCAAATAAAAGCCAAAAACAAAATGAAGGGGCAAATGAACACTGGGGTGAAAGAAATGAACAACATAATCATGGAGGATCTTGTGCCCTTCATATGCAAAGAGTTCTTACTATTCAATAAGAAAAAGACTGAATAATCCAACTGAAAAACAGGCAAAAGATACATAAATCACAGGCCAATAAACATGGAAATGTGCTAAACCTCACCCATAATTTTTAAACTACCAAATTAAGCCATAGGAGGTATCATTTTTCTACCTATAAGATGGGCAATTATTTTTGTGCAGTGTTGATAAGGAGAGAGAAAATAGGCACCCTCGTACTCTGTTGGCAAGAGCAAAGATTGAAAGAGACTTTAGAAAATAACTGGACAGCATCTTTTTAAAAATTGAAAGCACATTTCCCTGGACGTGGGAGTCTGCTATTTGAAACATGTTCTACCGAGCTTCTCCCAGCAGAGCCCAAGTATGTTTACAGACAGGTGTTCACAGGATGGTGTTTGTCATGGTGGAAAAGTTAAAACCACCTACATGTTCAGTAACTGGGGAATTTGGTGACATATATCATGTGACACAGTTCAACTACTGTTACCATGAAAACGTAAGGGGCAGAACATGCAGCATATATGTGATGTGAAAGCAATTCAAATGTGCATACGCACACACACACACACACACACACACACCAAAAATCTATTCGACTATAACACAAATGATTAATCTTTTGACATCACTAGCGAAAAGCACAGATCGTAGGTTCAAATCCCACCAGCTGTGTGACCCTGGACAAGTGACTTGACATCTCTGAGCCTCAGTCTCTTTAACTATAAAAGGGGAGTGATGACAGCACCTGTCGCAAAAGTTACTGTGAAGTTTAAATGAGTTAAAAGGATGCCTCGATAAATGTTAGTGACCGCATTATTTATCATCATTATGGGCCTCCCCTGTCCCAGCTCTGCCCACCTGGGTGATCGCTGGCTAGCGCTAGGGCTATCTTGGTCACCACTGTGTCCCCAACACTGCCCTGCATGGGACTGAGCATGGAGCAGGGGCTCAGGGGAGTGTTTGCTGAACGATTTTTTTTTTAATTAATCAATTAATTAATTAATTATTTTTCCCCTCCCCTACCCGAGCTGAACAATTTTAACAAATGGATGAATGAATGAAAAAAAAGAGAGAAAGAAAAAAAGGCCACTTCCCCCTTTCTTCTAGATGAGTAAATCTGGCCCAGGGAGCCTGACTCATCATTACTATTTTTACTATTTTTCTACAACAATAATGGCTATCATTATTACTACTACTGTAGTATTTTTCTATTATCTTTTGTATCATTATTATTACTACTCTTATTATTTTTGTAATTATTGTTGCTCTTGCTTTTTTCTATTAATGTCACAGTTAGCATGACTTCTCTATGTTTTCTGTCATCTGCTGTCATGGCTCCCACCAGTGTGCACCTGGCCTCGCAGGCACGCAGGGCCCCGTGCAGATGCCCGAGGGGGTCCGGGGAGGGACACGGGCGCACCTGCGTGATGAGGAACTTGGTGAGGCGCTCGGGCAGCCGGCCCTTCTCGCTGGAGAGGATCATCTCCAACATGTCGCCGTGCAGCTTCTCCATCACCACGAACACCTTCTCGGGCGTCTCGAACATGCACTCCAGGTTCACGATCCCGGGGTGCTGCAGACTCTGGGGGGGATGGGGAAGATGGATCAGGGCCCAGGTCACCCACAAACTCAGACCCCGGAGCGTCAGCCATGGGAGCAGGTGAAGATGTCCCTGGGGGGTTGACACTGGGGGAGGGAAGGGAGAGTCCCACAGGCCAAGATAGAACAACCCCACCCCCACCCCACCTGCAGGTGCCCAGAAGGAGTGGGACATCATGAAATTCAGGTGAAGGCCCAGGGTTGGATGAGGGAGGGAAGGAAGCTTGGAGAAATAGGAATAGCTCCGTACCTGATCTCATCCCTCCCTTGCTCAAGATCCTTCTAAGACGCCCCAGTTCCCCCAGGAGAAAGTACACAGAGTCTGGCTCCATCGCCCACTCCCCCCATCTCCCACTGCCTCTTCCCCAAAAACCTCAAGCTCCCTCTCTCATTTCCAGGTCTTCACACAGGCTGCTTCCTCCGCTCAGAACACCTTCTTCCCCATTTCTGTCTCAACATACATGTGCCCTCCTCCAGGAAGCCTTCCCTGACCACCCCCAGACTGGGTCAGCTGCCCCTTGAAAGGAAGAAGCAGGAAGGGAAGGCCCTTCCTGGGCCGTGGCAGAGCTGGGCCACAGACTCTGGTGGTCACCTGCAGAATGGCCACTTCGTTCCGGAGCTGGCTCTCCTGCTTGGTGGGGAAGCGCAGTTTGTCAATGACCTTGACTGCCACGTCTCGGCCTGTCTTCCGGTGCTTTCCTGGGCAGGGGGTCGGAGAGGTCAGGGGTGAGAGAGCAAGACCTCCCGGTCCTGGCAAGAGAAGCCCCACCTCTGCCACCCCACTTCTACCATGAGACACAGTCAGAATTGGACAAAGGTGAGGGAAGGCCACCAAGGTGGCTCTGAGGGGTTCCCAGGAGATATGTGAGAAGCGGTGGGGTGCAGTGAGAAGGAACACTCTGGTTTCAAAAGATTTCAAATGAGGGGAATCAATAACATAGGCAACTAATAGATTTATAACCAATCAGAATCTAGGATCTAGTTCTGTGGCCAATCAGAGTGCAGAATTTACCCTCCCTATCCAATTAGAATCTAGGATCTAGCCCTGTAGCCAATCAGAGTGCAGAATTTACCCTCCCTATTAATAACAACAGGGGTCCATTGGTTTTTCCCAGTGAGAAGAGGAAACTCTGCAACCACCTGCACCCAGGATCTAGCTTTTTAGGCCAATCGAAACCGGAAGTAAGCATGCAGCCAATCAGAAAGGAAGGTTTGGAGCCAGAGGGGCTTCACCCAGCCCCAGGGCCCCTCTGGCCTAGCTCTGATGCCTTCTTACCTCCATAGACCACTCCAAACTGCCCCGACCCCAGCACTTCATCTGGGAAGATCTGGTAGACAGTGGCGATGTCCTGCAGGGTGGAGGGAAGGAGGGTCAGGCGTGCAAGCAGAGGTGGGGGACTAAGGAGGCAAGAGGGCTGGGGCCATTGTGTGTGGGGGCAGCAGGTGTGGGTAGGAGGCTCACCACGTTCTCCTGGATCTGACTGTTGGACACAGAGATGCTCAGAGAAGCTTGTCCTGGGGAGAAGGGAGAGACAGAGGTGAGGGGTCCCCAGGCTCCAGGTTATCTCCGCCCACACCTCCAAAGGTGGCCTCGGGCGCCAGGCCACCCAGGTTTGAATCCATTGTTTGATACAATGTGCAACTTCAGGCTAGTGATTTGTCCACCATGAACCTTGGTTTTTTTACCCAGAAAATGGGAATAAAAGGACCTCCCTCATAGGGCCGCTGGGAGGAGAAACTGAGATGCGTTGGGGGACTCGAGGAGTGATGTCACAAATGAAGTTTGTGAGTATTTTAACACATGATCTCAGCGCCAAGGGAGGCAACGCGGATCCCATTTTGGAGAGAAGGAAATGGAGTCTTGGAGGGGAAGTTGAAACCGACTCCTGCATCTTCCCCAATCTCGTCCCCCAACCACAGCCAGACATTTCGGAAGTCCTGTTCCTTCTGCCATTTGAATGTCCCTCTCTCCTCCACCTCCCCACGGCCCCATCTAGGCCCCTGCACGCCCCTCCCCTCTGGGTCCTGGCTCCCCAGCCTCTCCCAGGTCTCCTTGCCCCAATCCTGCCCCCTCCTAGTCACCCCGCATAGGGATGCCAGAGGGATCTTACTGAAGCACAAAGCTGACCTTGTCCCTCCCTTGCTCACAACCCTGCCATGGCTCCCCAGTGCCCTGAAGAGGAAGCCTAAGCACTTTAAATGGCCTAAAAGGCATGAACTAGACCCTCATCTACCTCTGACTTCAACCCCTACCATGCTATTCCCGACACTGGCCTCCTTGCCGCACCCCCAGTACAGCAAGCTGTCTCCTATCTCCCCGCCTTTGCATACACTGTTCCCTCTGCCAGGAATCCCCTTTCCCTCATTCTAGTCTGAGCTAAATCCTCATCCTTCAGTCTCAGCTCAAATGTCACTCCTGGGACTATGCCATGTCACTGCAGCACATGTTTGTGCAGGTTGACATTTCTGTCACCTACCCTGGATTATGAGCTCCAGAGCACAGGGACCTGCTACTCTTTCCATCTGCTTGAAATGATTTCTCATTTGCTTTCCTCATCTTACCCCTCCCCAGCCTCCAGGTCTCAGTTCAGATGTCACCTCCTCCAGGAAGCCCTCCTGGACATCTAGATTGGGTCAGGCATTCCCCCTGGGCTCCTCCAGCTCCCTGGCTCCCCTGTCCCAACCCTGCCCACCCTGGGTTGTCACTGTCTAGGGATGGGTATTGTTTGCCTCTACACTGTGAGCCCCATGAGGGCAGGTCCTGGGCTGTTGGTCACCACTGCGTCCCTAGCACTGTCCAGCACTTGGGCACAGAGGAGCCACCTGAGACAAGGCTCAGCGAGGGGATATGACATGCCCAAGGCCACATAGCCGGCCAGGGGCTTAACAGAAATTTGAACCCAGGTCTGCTGAGTTCAAAAGCCACATTCTCAACTCCACCATTGCCTACCTTCCTCCTGGCTCTTCCTTTCCCCCAGATCCTGCCCAGGCCCTTCTAGAGCCACCCTCTCATGGACCTGGGGCGGGGGACTTACTGTGTGGCGCATGGCCTGGGGCGCTGGGTGCGTCCTGGAGGATGACGGGCATCAGGGCCTGGCGGATGGCTGTCTCCCAGCCCCGGGCGGCTTCAGCCCCCTGCCCGCTCGGCCCACCCGGGGCCCCACCAGGTGTCTCTCCTACGAAGTAGGTGGCATTGGCAGTGACAATCTCGAAGCAGTGCGGGTTGGTGCCTGGTGGCACGAGGCTGAAGTTCTGGGCAGACTCCACAGTGAGGATTTCTGACAGCGGAATTTCCTGGCAGGACACGGAACCAGCGCGGGTGAGGACGCCAGGCAGACCCTGGGGCTCCCCGGATTACTCAGAGGGGCACACAGGATCCAGTGCCAATGGGGACGGGCCTGGTTTGCATGGAGTGGGCAGGAAAGGCCTCCTGGCAGAAGTGACGTTGAAGCAGAGACAGAAAGGGCAGAAGAAGCTGGGAGTGCAGGGAACGGCCCAGACAAAGGCCCCGAGGAAAGGCTTGTGCTCTAAGGACATGCCATATCCCCATCACATGGGACGGTGCCTGGCACACACTAGGTGCCTGATAAATGTCTGATGAGTAAATGAAGGAAATGAGTACACACAGGGCCTCGTGAGCCACAAGGAGGAGCCCTGGCTTTGTCCAAGGGCCCTAGGGAGCCACTGAAGGGTTCTGAACTGGGCAGGGCTGGGGGGAGCGTTCTCTGGCTGTGTACGGAGGGCAGATGGAATAGGATGAGATCGAGACGGGACCAGGAAGGAGGCAGAGGGGACTGGGGCAGAAGAGAAGGCGCAGGGACCATGGGGTGGGAAATGTACTGAAAGACAAAGGAAGTGGCCGGGCTGTGGCTCATGCCTGTAATCCCAGCACTCTGGGAGGCCGAGGCAGGAGGATTGCTTGAGCTCAGGAGTTCGAGACCAGCCTGAGCAAGAGTGAGACCCCGTCTATACTATAAACAGAAAAATTAGCTGGGCATGGTGGCGCATGCCTGTAGTCCCAGCTACTCGGGAGGGTGAGGCAGGAGGATCGCTTGAGCCCAGGAGTTTGAGGTTGCTGTGAGCTAGGCTGATGTTGATGTCACGGTACTCTAGCCCAGGCAACAGATTGAGATTCTGTCTAAAAAAAAAAAAACGACGAAGGAAGGGAAGGAGGGAGGAAAGAAAGACTGACTTAGGTAGCCAATAAAACCAGGTGATGAGACAGACACATGGGAGATGAGGATCGCATTTTAGACAGCATAGTCTGGGCAAGGCAAAAAGCTGAGAAGGACTCAGCCATGGGAAAGTCCAAGGAAGACACTCCAGGACAGGTGACAGGAGGGAGTCTGGATTTTATCCTAAGAGCCATCCAAGCCATTGGAGGGTTTTGACGGTTTTAATAAAAACTCCCCTGGCTGCTATGTGGGAAAAAGACTGTGGTCACAAGGGCAGAAGCAGGGACCCAGCAAGGAGATTGCTGCAACCACCTAGGTAGGGGACAGTGGCTGGAACACAGTGCCAGCATAGGGGGGGTGATGAATATACACACATAATTCAATAAATTAATTAAAAAGGAATAGCGATAACAGGCTTATAATTACTGGGAGCTTAACACGTGCCACGCCCCAAGCTAACTGCTTTAGTGGATTAGTTCTGAATTCTCACAACAGCCCTGAGGCGAGCACTGTTATCTGAGGCATTTTGCAGGTAAGAGACGCCAGGCACAGAGAGGTGCGGGAACTGGCCCCGGGTCCCCCGGCTGGAAAGCGGTGGGGGCCAGAATCAGATGCGTGGCATTTATCGATGGGTTGGAAGCAGAGAAACTGGGAGTGGGGAGACAGTGTGATTCGCAGGATTTAGCTAGAGTAAGTGGGGGTAGGAGGACGAGTAGGTAAGGATGTGGGCAAAGAGAGAAGGCCGGGGCGCTGGAGCAGGAAGGCTCACCTTGTAATATCTGTTGGTCGTGTTGTTCTGGAAGAGCGTGATGCACTTGCAGTCCAGGCGCCAATAGTGCCGCTTCCTCTGCAGAGATGTTTGAGAGGGTGAGGCTGACGCCCCCCGACACCCGGACTGTGCTGTCCTGGCGCTCCGTGGGGCTCCTGGTGCCTGGAGCACCCTGTTCAGGGCCCGCGCGCTTCTCCCAGCCAAGCCCCGCCCCCAACCTAACTCTAGCACCGCCCCCACGTGGCCCCACCCCGCCCCTGACCTTGC